ACCCTTCTCCGTCAAGTCCCTTCTCCGTCAAGACCCTTCTTCGTCAAGACCCTTCTCCGTCAAGACCCTTCTCCGTCAAGACCCTTCTTCGTCAAGACCCTTCTTCGTCAAGACCCTTCTTCGTCAAGACCCTTCTCCGTCAAGACCCTTCTTCGTCAAGACCCTTCTTCGTCAAGACCCTTCTTCGTCAAGACCCTTCTTCGTCAAGACCCTTCTTCGTCAAGACCCTTCTCCGTCAAGACCCTTCTCCGTCAAGACCCTTCTCCGTCAAGACCCTTCTCCGTCAAGACCCTTCTCCGTCAAGACCCTTCTTCGTCAAGACCCTTCTTCGTCAAGACCCTTCTTCGTCAAGACCCTTCTCCGTCAAGACCCTTCTTCGTCAAGACCCTTCTTCGTCAAGACCCTTCTTTGTCAAGACCCTTCTTCGTCAAGACCCTTCTTCGTCAAGACCCTTCTTCGTCAAGACCCTTCTTCGTCAAGACCCTTCTTCGTCAAGACCCTTCTTCGTCAAGACCCTTCTCCGTCAAGACCCTGACCCTTCTCCGTCAAGACCCTTCTTCGTCAAGACCCTTCTTCGTCAAGACCCTTCTTCGTCAAGACCCTTCTTCGTCAAGACCCTTCTTCGTCAAGACCCTTCTTCGTCAAGACCCTTCTTCGTCAAGACCCTTCTTCGTCAAGACCCTTCTTCGTCAAGACCCTTCTCCGTCAAGACCCTTCTTCGTCAAGACCCTTCTCCGTCAAGACCCTTCTCCGTCAAGACCCTTCTTCGTCAAGACCCTTCTCCGTCAAGACCCTTCTTCGTCAAGACCCTTCTTCGTCAAGACCCTTCTTCGTCAAGACCCTTCTTCGTCAAGACCCTTCTCCGTCAAGACCCTTCTTCGTCAAGACCCTTCTTCGTCAAGACCCTTCTTCGTCAAGACCCTTCTTCGTCAAGACCCTTCTCCGTCAAGACCCTGACCCTTCTCCGTCAAGACCCTTCTTCGTCAAGACCCTTCTTCGTCAAGACCCTTCTTCGTCAAGACCCTTCTTCGTCAAGACCCTTCTTCGTCAAGACCCTTCTTCGTCAAGACCCTTCTTCGTCAAGACCCTTCTTTGTCAAGACCCTTCTTCGTCAAGACCCTTCTCCGTCAAGACCCTTCTTCGTCAAGACCCTTCTCCGTCAAGACCCTTCTCCGTCAAGACCCTTCTTCGTCAAGACCCTTCTCCGTCAAGACCCTTCTTCGTCAAGACCCTTCTTCGTCAAGACCCTTCTTCGTCAAGACCCTTCTTCGTCAAGACCCTTCTCCGTCAAGACCCTTCTTCGTCAAGACCCTTCTTCGTCAAGACCCTTCTTCGTCAAGACCCTTCTTCGTCAAGACCCTTCTTCGTCAAGACCCTTCTCCGTCAAGACCCTTCTTCGTCAAGACCCTTCTCCGTCAAGACCCTTCTTCGTCAAGACCCTTCTTCGTCAAGACCCTTCTTTGTCAAGACCCTTCTTCGTCAAGACCCTTCTTCGTCAAGACCCTTCTTCGTCAAGACCCTTCTTCGTCAAGACCCTTCTTCGTCAAGACCCTTCTTCGTCAAGACCCTTCTTCGTCAAGACCCTTCTTCGTCAAGACCCTTCTTCGTCAAGACCCTTCTTCGTCAAGACCCTTCTCCGTCAAGACCCTTCTTCGTCAAGACCCTTCTCCGTCAAGTCCCTTCTCCGTCAAGACCCTTCTTCGTCAAGACCCTTCTCCGTCAAGACCCTTCTCCGTCAAGACCCTTCTTCGTCAAGACCCTTCTTCGTCAAGACCCTTCTTCGTCAAGACCCTTCTCCGTCAAGACCCTTCTTCGTCAAGACCCTTCTTCGTCAAGACCCTTCTTCGTCAAGACCCTTCTTCGTCAAGACCCTTCTTCGTCAAGACCCTTCTCCGTCAAGACCCTTCTCCGTCAAGACCCTTCTCCGTCAAGACCCTTCTCCGTCAAGACCCTTCTCCGTCAAGACCCTTCTTCGTCAAGACCCTTCTTCGTCAAGACCCTTCTTCGTCAAGACCCTTCTCCGTCAAGACCCTTCTTCGTCAAGACCCTTCTTCGTCAAGACCCTTCTTTGTCAAGACCCTTCTTCGTCAAGACCCTTCTTCGTCAAGACCCTTCTTCGTCAAGACCCTTCTTCGTCAAGACCCTTCTTCGTCAAGACCCTTCTTCGTCAAGACCCTTCTCCGTCAAGACCCTGACCCTTCTCCGTCAAGACCCTTCTTCGTCAAGACCCTTCTTCGTCAAGACCCTTCTTCGTCAAGACCCTTCTTCGTCAAGACCCTTCTTCGTCAAGACCCTTCTTCGTCAAGACCCTTCTTCGTCAAGACCCTTCTTCGTCAAGACCCTTCTTCGTCAAGACCCTTCTCCGTCAAGACCCTTCTTCGTCAAGACCCTTCTCCGTCAAGACCCTTCTCCGTCAAGACCCTTCTTCGTCAAGACCCTTCTCCGTCAAGACCCTTCTTCGTCAAGACCCTTCTTCGTCAAGACCCTTCTTCGTCAAGACCCTTCTTCGTCAAGACCCTTCTCCGTCAAGACCCTTCTTCGTCAAGACCCTTCTTCGTCAAGACCCTTCTTCGTCAAGACCCTTCTTCGTCAAGACCCTTCTTCGTCAAGACCCTTCTCCGTCAAGACCCTTCTTCGTCAAGACCCTTCTCCGTCAAGACCATTCTTCGTCAAGACCCTTCTTCGTCAAGACCCTTCTCCGTCAAGACCCTTCTCCGTCAAGACCCTTCTTCGTCAAGACCCTTCTCCGTCAAGACCCTTCTCCGTCAAGACCCTTCTTCGTCAAGACCCTTCTTTGTCAAGACCCTTCTTCGTCAAGACCCTTCTTCGTCAAGACCCTTCTTCGTCAAGACCCTTCTTCGTCAAGACCCTTCTCCGTCAAGACCCTTCTTCGTCAAGACCCTTCTTCGTCAAGACCCTTCTTCGTCAAGACCCTTCTCCGTCAAGACCCTGACCCTTCTCCGTCAAGACCCTTCTTCGTCAAGACCCTTCTTCGTCAAGACCCTTCTTCGTCAAGACCCTTCTTCGTCAAGACCCTTCTTCGTCAAGACCCTTCTTCGTCAAGACCCTTCTTCGTCAAGACCCTTCTTCGTCAAGACCCTTCTTCGTCAAGACCCTTCTCCGTCAAGACCCTTCTTCGTCAAGACCCTTCTCCGTCAAGACCCTTCTCCGTCAAGACCCTTCTTCGTCAAGACCCTTCTCCGTCAAGACCCTTCTTCGTCAAGACCCTTCTTCGTCAAGACCCTTCTTCGTCAAGACCCTTCTTCGTCAAGACCCTTCTCCGTCAAGACCCTTCTTCGTCAAGACCCTTCTTCGTCAAGACCCTTCTTCGTCAAGACCCTTCTTCGTCAAGACCCTTCTTCGTCAAGACCCTTCTCCGTCAAGACCCTTCTTCGTCAAGACCCTTCTCCGTCAAGACCATTCTTCGTCAAGACCCTTCTTCGTCAAGACCCTTCTCCGTCAAGACCCTTCTCCGTCAAGACCCTTCTTCGTCAAGACCCTTCTCCGTCAAGACCCTTCTCCGTCAAGACCCTTCTTCGTCAAGACCCTTCTTTGTCAAGACCCTTCTTCGTCAAGACCCTTCTTCGTCAAGACCCTTCTTCGTCAAGACCCTTCTTCGTCAAGACCCTTCTCCGTCAAGACCCTTCTTCGTCAAGACCCTTCTTCGTCAAGACCCTTCTTCGTCAAGACCCTTCTCCGTCAAGACCCTGACCCTTCTCCGTCAAGACCCTTCTTCGTCAAGACCCTTCTTCGTCAAGACCCTTCTTCGTCAAGACCCTTCTTCGTCAAGACCCTTCTTCGTCAAGACCCTTCTTCGTCAAGACCCTTCTTCGTCAAGACCCTTCTTCGTCAAGACCCTTCTTCGTCAAGACCCTTCTTCGTCAAGACTCTTCTTCGTCAAGACCCTTGTTCGTCAAGACCCTTCTTCGTCAAGACCCTTCTTCGTCAAGACCCTTCTTCGTCAAGACCCTTCTTCGTCAAGACCCTTCTTCGTCAAGACCCTTCTTTGTCAAGACCCTTCTTTGTCAAGACCCTTCTTTGTCAAGACACAAGGAGGAGCTCAGCCAGCAATGCGGGATTGCTACTCTGACTGAGCTCCTCCTCGTGTCTTGACGGCCTGGGCTGACACCGACACTCACACTGAGGTCAGTGCTCCACCCACCCACACTTCACACTTCAACCAGTGTTTGCCACGCTTCACCCACAACCTCTCCCCCCTTCCTCTCTACCATCTTTCTCTCTGCCCCCTCCATCCACCTGACCCTGATCCTTCCACCCCCCCTCCCCCCCCCCCTCTGCTCCCCCCAGCGCTGGCGCTGCTGGCACTGAGGGCGGGGCTGGGCGTGAGTGCTCTCAGCTGGGCGGTGGACTCGCCCTGCACGCTGGCGGGCAACGCCCCCGCGGTGGACAGCTGGACGGGCGTCGTCTGCGACCTCTCGGGCCAAGTCCTTAGCCTGTGCGTTGGGGGGGTGGTGTGTGCAACGTGTGTGCTATATGTGTTCTATGTGCATGCTATGTGTGTGCTATGCGCATGTGCTTTATGTGTGCTATGCGCATGTGCTTTATGTGTGCTATGCGCATGTGCTCTATGTGTGCTATGCGCATGTGCTTTATGTGTGCTATGCACACGTGCTATATGTGTGCCATGCGCGCATTTTCCATGTGTGTGCTATGTGTGTGTTGTGTGTGTGCTATGCCTGGAGACATGCTAACTCGCCTCACAGGGTGCAGATCTGCCTCCCTTGTATGTGTTTGTTTTGCACCATGAGGCTTGCCCTGATACAAACGTACGTATGTACAAGTGACATGAGGGCCACCCTGAGGCTGACACATCTCCAGCGTCTGACACATCTCCAGCGTCTGACACATCTCCAGCGGCTGACACCGCACGCTGCCTTGCTCGCTGCACTGCACTCATGTGCCTCGTGCTCATTAACTCCTCTTTCCTTGGTGCCTGGGTGGCATGGGCTTGCTCACGTCACAACAGGGATCTTTCCAACATGAAGCTTCGTGGCAGCTTGCATGCCGACATCTCCAAGCTCACTGCGCTCACCAGCCTGTGAGTGCCGCTGCTCTCACCAACACATAGCCCCACATCCATCCATCTTCCCTTACCTCGGCCCACTTTCCACCATACACATCAACACGTATTCTGATTCTATGCCATACTCCTTAAACCAACCTTGCAAGTTCGCATTTCGCAACTCCCCACCTGTTTCCCCACACTCCATTCTGCCCTCTCTCCCTGTGCCTTTCTGCCTCTATGCCCTGGTGCCCCTGTGCCTCTGTGCTCCTGTTCCCTCCTGCTCCCAGAAACGTGGCGTCCAACCTCTTGGATGCGCGCATGAGCGAGTGGGCTCTGCCTCTCACCGGCCTCAAGGCACTCAAGCAACTGTCAGTTCTGCACACTGCTTGCATATCCTGCGTCCGTCACACCGCATGGCAAGCGGCCTTGCATTGCATTCTGCATACCAGGCTCTCTTTTCCGTGTGGTTGCGCGCAAGGCCATATCAGGCCATTTCACACCAGATCAGACCAAACCAGGCCAGACCAAGCCAGACCAAGCCAGGCCTTGATTCCCTCCTAGTGTGTGCCTACATAGCTCATAACATTTTTATTTTTCTTCGTACTTTCTATTTTCCAATTGCCCTTGTAATGTTTTTTTTCTTGTTCTTATGTGCGAGTTCTCTTGTGCGGCTTTTCTCTTGTTCTGCTTTTCGCTTGCATGCTTTTCCCATGTCTAAAGTTTCTCTTGAGTATATTCTTATCTCGAGTGAATCTATCTCCCTCCACCTCTGCCTTCCAGGTCTCTCAACTACAACTGGTTCTCCGGCCCTCTGCCCTCATTCCTCCTCACCATGTCCTCCCTCTCAGCTCTGTAAGCAGCCCCTGCCCTTACTCCATTGCGTACCTCCTTTCTCATGTACTTGTGCGACCCAATCATCACACATACACATGCACTCCCCCTTCATTGTACATCAGGACCCTTTCTCATTCATAATCATGGATCATGGCACCCTGCCCTTTCTCCATTGCGTACCTCCTTTCTCTATCTGCCCTTGCGCACCCCTCACCCTCCCTCCCCCTGACCAGCAACGTGCAATTCAACTACCTCGCTGGTCCCATCACCGGCACTCCCTCTGCCTCCCTCAAGTCCCTCAACGTCGCCTCCAACCTCCTCACAGGAACCTTCCCAGCATCTTCCACCACTGCATGCGATGCACGCAGCAACTGCCTAGCAGACTCCTCCAAGTGCCTTACCTCTGGCTCCTCCTCCCAGAGGCTTTCCTCTGACTGCGACGTCTGTGGTTTGGGGAGTTCCAGTGCGGTGGTGTGCAATGGAGGGGTGTGCGCGCCTGACACTACCGCGCCCATGGCAGCACTCACGCCGAATAGTGACTCTGCTGCTCTGCTGCCCATGCAGTGCTCGGGTGTGCGCATTGACGCCACAGCAGGTACGCCTGCTGCCCATTTTATTGTAATTTATTTTTTCCGAGATTCTTTCTCATTTTCCAACGTACGCTTTTTCTGCTCTCTCGCTCTCTACTCCCTCTCTCACTACTTCCCTCAAGCATCTCCCCTCGCTCCACTCCCACTCTCCTCCCACCATTCCTCGCTTCTCTCCCCCCCCCCCTCCCCCTTACCCACTCCCTCCAGTATCGGTGCTTGGGAGCCTCAAAGCGGCACTGGGAGTGCCTCTCCCGGACTGGGGAGGGAACTCGCTGTGCACGGTGGTCCTCGTGGTTTCCGGAGTCAGCAGCTCCTCCTCTGGCCCGAGGGACTTGGGAGGCGTGCTGTGCAGCCCGGCCGGTGCTGTGGTGGAGATCAACCTCAACACGCGCCAGCTGGCTGGGTCCATGCATGCAGATATCTCCAAGCTCACTGCGCTCACTAGCCTGTAAGCCCACTGCTCTGTAAGCCCACTGCTCTATAAGCCCACTGCTCCTTACACTGGCTATTACTCTGTAACGTCCAAGCTGCAAATTACCTCTTCTTTAGTATACAAACATGTATATATACTGGGTTTATACATATATTCTATATATACTGGGTGCTGTGTAGAAAAGGTGGTATAACAACAGATATGATTCTGGGTGTTGTTTTCTCTCTGTTTCAAAACTTCGTCCTTCTTCTCAAACCCCACGGAGGCACAAAACTATTCTCTAACAGTGAAGGGGCGTGTATTTCATGACTGTAAGAAACACATCATAATTCATTAAGGCCAAACGTTTTTGGTAATCTCACTGCCTTGGTAACCTGGTAACCTCACTGTAAACCATCTATTTTAACCCTTTGGCAGAACCAGGGTGCCCCCATCTCCACTTCTATATGCACGTCCTTCTCCGCATCCAACTTGCCTATCGCTCTGCACCTCTCCCCTTCCTGCCTTCCCCTCTTCTTACCTTCCCACATAATGCTCTTGCTGCAACTCATACCCGTGTGCCTTACCTCCCACCCCTCCCGCTGACCATCTCCACCCTTACGCAGGACCTTCTACTCAAACTATTTGGCTGGTCGCTTGGATGCCTTCACTGCGCCCTTCACTGCTCTCTCTAGCCTAGCGAATCTGTACGTCCTTCTCTCAAGCATTCTTCTCTAAGGATGGTATTCTCGACCTGTCCTTACTGTGAAGGCATGGCGTGTAGAAGAGAAATGTAACTGGATACAGAATGTTCCTAGCTAGCATTCCCCGGAGTGTCTCAGATTCCGGGGGGATTGATTGTTCTGCCTCTTGTACCCACATTCAGTGTGCGCTCTCCTTCCCTGCATATGAGGCACGTTGCATCCTACCTGCCTTCACGCATCACACCCGTATGGGCCAGCCTTCTCCTTGGAAAATGCAATACCTGGAGCAAACCCCCTCGCCCTGTTACCCATTCCCTTCCCGTTCGTTACCTGGCTCCTTCCCATCCATTTCCCTATCCACCTCCCCATCCACCTGTTCCCCCCACCCTCTTCCGTGTGTGGCGTGCAGCCAACTGCACTACAACTACCTGTTTGGGCCCATCCCCTCGGCTCTTATCGGTCTCAAGAGCCTCTCCAAGCTGTGAGATTACCACCTCTATGCCATTGTGTGTCATGCCGTGCCATGCCATACCATGCAGCCTCATTGGCATCGTTCCAGACCTGCTCATGCCACTTCTCCTTCATCTGACTTTCCTTCCGCCTTGCACTTCACTCACCCAACCCCATCCAACACCTTGTCTCCCTAAAAACCTTCAAGCACTCGTAGCTCGCCCTTTCCTCGTCACAGTATACTCTCCCTCTCATCAACCCATTCGTTCTGCATCTACCCAACAGGATGTCTAAACCGAGTCGGCTCAACATGCACTCATTGATCATCCTGCACGACCCTGGGATACACTTACTCTACCACGAGTCTGCTGCCGTACCCATCCACTAGACTCATCTCAGAGATCCCCTTCCCCCCTCTCATGCGTCATCCCACAGGAGTCTGGGCTCCAACTACCTCACCGGGAGCGTGCCAGTGCCAGGCACTGCCATGAAGCACCTGGACCTCGAAAACAACTACCTCGTGGGAACCTTCCCAACAGGTTCCTGGCAGTCCTGCTCGGCACGCACCAACTGTTTCTCGAGTGCTGCTGCTTGCACGGCGGACGGAGGCAAAGGGACTGTTCAGAGAGCCACGTGCAGCATCTGCGGCAGTGCTGATGGCACGGGGGTGTTGTGTGGCGGCGGTGGTGCGTCCACCTGCCAGCCCACAGCTACTTCCCTCGCATCCCTCTCCACACTCAACAGCCCCTCTGCCCCTGCGCTTCCTCTCGCGTGCTCCTTGCTGCCAGCTGTACCCGTCAACTCTACTGCCAGTAAGACGCCCCGGCGCACGGGCAGGAGCACGGGCATGACGGGCTTGGCCAAAAACGGGCACATGAATGGGCACAGGCATGGGCACAGGCATGGGCACAGGCATGGGCACAGGCATGGGCACAGGCATGGGCACAGGCATGGGCACAGGCATGGGCACAGGCATGGGCACAGGCATGGGCACAGGCATGGGCACAGGCATGGGCACAGGCATGGGCACAGGCATGGGCACAGGCATGGGCACAGGCATGGGCACAGGCATGGGCACAGGCATGGGCACAGGCATGGGCACAGGCATGGGCACAGGCATGGGCACAGGCATGGGCACAGGCATGGGCACAGGCATGGGCACAGGCATGGGCACAGGCATGGGCACAGGCATGGGCACAGGCATGGGCACAGGCATGGGCACAGGGAGCATGGTATGTTCCGCACACACGCTCCACGCTCACTAGCATTTCCCCCCTTAGCCGTTTACAGCTCCCGCTTCAATCCCCACTCTTTTCATGTTTCCCTTTCCCCACCCACAGTGGCGGCGCTGCTGAGCATCAAGACAGCCTTGGGAGTGACACACACAGGGTGGGCGGCAAATGCTGTCTGCACGCTGGCAGGGACAGGTGGCACTGTGGCGAGTGGGAGCTTGACTGGTGTGGAGTGTGACTCCGCTGGCAACCCCGTCAAGATGTGAGCACTTGATCCTGTGTTGAGTGGAACCCTCGTTTTGTGGATGAATGAAGCCTGGAAGTATTGGCAGCAGTGTCACTGGTGTTATGTGCAAACAACTTCTTAGATTGTTTAAAACCTTTCGTTGAGGTCATTGAGTAGGAATCTGAATCCTTAAGGTTTTGAGAGAAAGGGGTACAGTGGTCTTCATCTTCTCCTTCCCATTCTTGCACCCCTCCACTCTCTTCTAATCTGCCATCCCAGCTTATCCTGGTGTTTCTTTTCCCAGCGTCTGTGTTGTGTCCACCGACTCCTGTCCTGCTCCTCACTCAAAATTGTCACTTGCTTGATCCTCCCCCTGTTTTTTCTTCTGTTGCCTGCCCACCTGTGCCAGCACTCTCAACAACCAGCAGCTGTTCGGAGTGCTCCCTGCTGATGTCACCAAACTCACAGTGCTCACTTACCTGTGAGTTAGCACCTGCGCACATGATTTTCCTGCTTGTGAACTTCACAAACACGCAAGCTCACGCAAGCATGTGAAGAATGCATGTAGGCTCTCACATTTGTGTCAGCACCCACGTGCATACAAATGTGATTTTGAATAGTCGAAGCGACCAACGTGTGTACATACAAGTACTCGTCGGATCAAGTCATTGGTAGTTAAGTAGGCACCACGATTAGGACTCTGGATAAACACGCTTCCGTTTAACCGTTTACACCCAACCTCTTTCTAGAACCCAACCTCGTTCCCCATGCCCCCTTCCTTCTTCCCCCCCTCCCCCACTCCTCTGAGTCTCTGCCTGTGCCCCTCTTTGCCCCCCTGTGCTCCCCCTCACAGCAACCTGCAGTCTAATCTCTTCAGAGCACGCCTTGAAGACTTTGCTTTGAGGCTTCCCGCCCTCACCAACCTGGCAGTGCTGTGAGTCCCTCCGCGGCCTGGCCATGCTCTGAGTCCCTCCGCACCCTCATATTCCTAGTGTTCTTGCTGTTAACGAGTCTCTGCAATGCACTCCTGCCCTTCAACTATGAACGCAAGGCGCACATTGCCGAGTCCTCGTCTGGTCACTTTGCACTTGGTGAACTACCAGGCACTTAGCAACAAATCATTCATTCTGCATTGAGCTTCAAGAATTGTTTTCCTCTAATATGTCTCTTTTAGGTTCCCCTCTTACATGTGCACCCTCTGCCCCATCTGCACATGTCTGCACCCTTGTGCATCCCTCTGCACCCCTCTCTGCATGCACCCACCTCCAGCCTGCTGGACTACAACTGGTTCAAGGGCTCGCTGCCCCCGCCTCTCCTCGCCATGACCAAACTCACCCGCCTGTCAGTACCGTGCCCCATCCCCATTCCCCATAACTTACGCTGCTATAGCACGTCCCACTCCATTCCGTTGTTGCCTACCTAAGAATGCCACACAATGTCGGGCCCACACCATCTCACTCTACTCATATTCGTCCACTTCTGTAGTAGTTTGAGTCTTGTTTTGTTCCTAACTTACTTATTTCCCTCTCAGCTTCCAAGTGACACAGCATACCCGAAACATATGCCACTTCTCTTACAACCCTCTCTCCTCTCCTCCCACCATACACCGTCAAAATATCGCGATCCAGGAGCATGGCGTACAACTACCTGACATACCGCGTGCCACCGGTGTCAGCATCGCTCAAGGCAATCGTCCTCTCCAACAACTTCCTCTCGGGCACCTTCCCTGCCAACTCCGCCACCTCCTGCGTCTCTGCTGCCAACTGCTTCACCAGCGCCACCTCCTGCAACACTCCTAGCGAGCAGGGCGATACGGCACAGCGAGCGACAGGGTGTGATATCTGCGGCAGTGCGAGTGGTCAGGGCATGCTGTGCGGCAGCACAGGGGTGTGCACGCCCAATGCTGCTGCACTGTTCACCGCCAAGACGGCGAATACTGCTGCTGCTGCTGTTCTCCCCATGGCTTGCGTTGGTGAGTGGTGCTTCAGTTTACATCACAGCTGCTGACCCAATAACGAATCTTCCGATCTTGCTGCTTCTTCCCTATTCTACTTGCCATTTCCAGCATTCACTGCTGCGACTTGCCTCACTGTCCTCCCGTATTCCCATATTCTAATATTGTCTCCTTTCTCCCGTGCCCCTGGTTCACAGACCTTGTGTGTGCTGCAGCTGCACCCATTGCCTGCCCCACTGACTGGCGCTGCCAGGGTCTCAAGTGTGCGGCACCTGCTGTCTCCAACTGCATTGGCTACCTCTGCACTCCGTAGAAGGGTTGATGTTATGGCCTGTAGCATTTGATTTTATTTCCTTGGTTATGACTTCGTTCGGGTAGTGGAACGTTAAGGTACGGTATGCTGAAGAGCCAGGAATGCTTGTTAGAGGTCCCCCGGGTAGCTTATGTGGGTGTGGGTTCTGTATTGGACCTAGATTTTTTTTCTCCTTTACAGGAGAAATCACTGTAAGACCTACCCCCCCCCCAATTTCCCCCACATCTAACAAAACTGTGTTCCATTTTCACCCGCTTTGTGTTCACTGAAAAACCCTAAAAAAACATAGACTACAATATGAAGACACACCCGGGTCTTATAGCATTTTTTCCCGTTCCACTCTTCACTTCTGGACTACGTAATCCGGATTCACTCCCACATGTTACCAAATATTTGGACAGGTGCCACACATGCATGCACAACCGCGGATGAAAATTTGACCAATCGACAGAAACACATACGGTACACAACACACATGCACATGACAGTTCAATTACACAAATAAACCACGAGTCAAGCTGTCTGTCAAGCCATAGTATACTATACTCAGAAATCGCCAGGCTCTGCACTGTCCACATACACAGTTTCCTGCTGCCACAACCCCCCAAGCCCTGTCTTCTTCTCGGTATTCTTATCCCCCGGTCTTTGTGATTGCGTTGCCTTGCTCCCACTCTTCCCCTGGCCCCCCTCCCTCTGCTTCAGCGGTCTCTTCTGCTTAGACGCCAACCCTGCAGCAGCCAACGCAGCAGCAGCAGCAGCGCCCCCTGCCGTTCCCCTCATGGTCCCCCCCTGACCACCTCCCACAATCCCTGCTGCACTTGCCACCACACCCGTCACAGCAGCCGCAGCAGCAGCAAGGGAAGGTGCAGCAGGTGAATCAGCAGCAGCGGAAGCTGCCGCAGCAGCCGAGGAGGGAGTAATGCCAGGGATTTTCGGGACAAGGCTGGCAAACGAAGGGGCAGCAGGGGCCGCAGGAGCAGCAGGAGCAGCGCTGGAAGCAGCGCGGTCTGAGGCAGAGTCTTGGGACTGGGAGCTCTCAAACACATCTGTCTTAGGGACGAGGCTGGCGAAGGAAGGGAGCACGGACTTGGGCGTGGGGAGGTCGGAGGATGCGCCCTTGAGAAAGCCCGCCATGTCTGATACAGTTGCTGTTGCTGCCTGCGCATTCACCTGCGCCTTTGCCGCCTCTGCTGCCTCCCGTGCTGCCTTGGCTGGAGGTGCGAGGGAGTGGGGGATAGAGGGGAGATGAGACTATTGTGAGGAGAGGGGAGAAGGAAGGGACATTGAGGTACCCGCAGCAGCACTCCGTGCTTTTTGGGAATCACAAACCGCACCAACATCAAACCCCGCACAAACAGCACCCATCTCCTATCTCCCATCTCCCATCTCCCACACACATTGAATCTCCCAACACCAGCATCCACAGCCCACCTGCCAAGGCCTCAGCAGCAGCCTTCTCTTCAGCCGCTCTAGCCAGCGCCTCTGCCTGCGCTGCCCTCTCTGCCGCCTCCCTGCTCGCTGCCTCCCTCGCCTCCGCTGCTGCTGCCTCCTCCTGCTCCTGCTCTGCTGCCAGCAGCTTGTTGGCACGCCGCGGGTCAGGGGGGACGAGACTGCACAATGAGAGGAGAGGGGAAGAGAAGGGAGGCGGGGAGGAGGCATAGATCAGGTAAGCAGTGTGAGTACGAGGGCAGGCGTGTGAGATGGCACAGGCGAGGGTGCTGCAGGTGCATTGGGGAGGGAAAGCTGAGGAGGAGTCTTGCATGCACATGGTACTGGTATGCTGGTGGTGACAGACAGCCATGAGTGCAATATGGTATGTGCACTGCCTCTCAGCCCCTCACATGGCCTCATTGAGCACGCCCAGTGCCATGTGCGGTCGCTCGGTCGCTTGCATATGTGGCCCTTTGACGGAACCGTCAGTGCCAGCTTGTGTGGCGCTCGCACGCCCCCACACCAGTTTCCCATTCATCCGCGTGGTGTGGGTTGGGCAGCAGAGCAGCAGCAGAGCAGCGCACCTGAGCATGTCGCGCAGGGGGGTGGCCTCCGCGCTCTCACTCGCCACCACGTCCAGCGCCTGCACCGCACGGACAGACGCGCGCGAGGAGGGGCGCGCACGAGGAGGGGCGCGCAAGAGGAGGGGCACAGGAATTGGTAAGGCGTGCTACAGGGCGCACACATGCGTGGTAGCAGAGGGGAAGGGGGTATGCGTGGTACCACCCCCGGTTTCACAGGAAGTGGAAGTGCAAATATAACGGGCATGCGTGCGTGCTCAAATAAGTGCTCAAGTGGATAGCATCCCGTCGCTTTCCCGTTCCTTTCCCCCTGCCTTTGACCATCTGAATGAGACGAGCGGCTTTCCGCGGCCTGTGAATTTATCCTTTTCCCTTATGCCCCCCCTTCCCATGCCGTCCCCCGCCAACCCCAGCAGCAGAACCCCTCAGCATGACCCCCCGCCTCAGACTCACCTTATCTCGCGCCATCTCCGGGTCGCTCAGCAGCGCCGCCACCAGCTGCGCCACCTGCACGCGCGATATCTGCGCGTGGGCGTGCCGTAGAGAGGGGGGGGAGGAGGGGGGAGAGCGGGTGGGAAGAGTGAGGGGACAGAGCGGAGGGCAGAGCGGGGGACAGAGAGTGCAGGGCAGGGTTGATGACGAGGTGCGCGAGCGGAACGGGGAATGCAGTAAGAGGGGACGGTTGAGAGGCACACCACCCGGGCACACCACAAACGTTGTCCCCAATGCTCACCACACGCGGATTGCTCAGAGCGGTCGCTGTACCGCCAGCAAGCCTCTCTGCCGACATAGTGGAAGGAACCATGCTGGCACACCACCCGGGCAGCAAGCCTCTCTCCGGACATGAGCGCAAGACAGCACCAACCGTCCACGCCCCCCCCCCCCAGGCCACCACGACCCGCTGCGCATCTTCTCCGCCTCTCTCCTCGCTTCCCCTCCACTTCCCCTCCCCAGCCCTCTCTGCCAGCAGCCCCACACTCAGCGCTCATCCCTCGCCCTCCGACCCGCTCTCTCCCTCTCTATCTCTCTCCCTAGGCCCCCCCTCCGCCCCCCGCCACTCACCTTGCCGCTTTTGATGCTGCCCTCCGCGCCCACCACCAGCTGCGAGCGCGCCATGAAGCTGTCGGGCACGCCGTCGCAGAACCCCGTTCGCACAATGCTGTACGAAATTTCGCTGTCCGCCAGCGCCGTCGCCAAGCCTGAATACGACACCCCGCGCCGCCCGATGGACCCGAGGAACGCGAGCATGGAGGAGACGACGCTGCCGTCCCGCGCGCCCGAGCCCTGCGCGAAGTCCGTCAGCAGCACGTACTGCCCCGCGCGGGCAGCTTCCGCCGCGCGCAGCAGGTCCAGCGCGTCCTGCGGGGAGACCACCCCCGCGCTCCCCGCGCCGTTCTCCGCGCGCCCCAGTGTGACCACGACCGTGCCCGCGCCCGCCATCGCCTGCGCTGTGAAGTCGGCGTCGCGCGCGGAGTACTGCACGAGGGTCAGTCGCTTGGCGTCGTCCGCGCTGATTTGCGGCTGCACGGGAAGGAGAAAGGAGGGGGTGAGAGAGGGAAGGATGTGTTGGGGATGGGAGTGAGTGAGAGGATGTTGCACTGAATGTACGCTGATGGCAATCAGCCAATGGGATCAGCTATTAGGGATCAGCCAATGGGGATCAGCCAGTGGGAATCTGTCAGCGGGATCAGTGAATGGGGATACGCGTTCACACTTCTCCGCACACATTGACCCCACCGCCTATTCACAGAGTTCTCGTTCCTTCTTTTTCCGAAAAAAAATCTCAGAGCTCAAGAATCTAGAGCCCAGATCCTGCTCTTGCGCTCATCCCATGCCTCCTCCCCGCGTACCTTGAGTTGCGCCAGCAGCTGCTTCATCGCGTCCTTATCCGCCTCCTCCACGCCCGCGCGCACCTTAAACCCCGCCGCCAGCAGCTCCGCCACCACGCGCGACGCCGTGGGGCCCGCCGCGCCGCCCGACACGAACACGGTCTTCGCGTCGGGGCCGGGAGGGCCGAGCAGCATCGACGCCAGCCGCACCACCGGGTAGAACAGCCCGGGCGACGCGGGGAGCTCCTCGGGGCGGGGGGCGGGCGCCGCGGCTTCGTCCTGTTGCGCGCCGCCGCGGCTGGCGGCGCTATCCTCGGAGTCTTTTCGGCGGAAGATGACGGTTCCCCTCGATGGCGGGATCTCCTCCGCTCGGCCCTTCCGCGGAAGGATTTGCGTTCCGCGCTTCGTGCCCCGACCAGTGCTCGTGCCGCGTTGCGTCTTCGTGATCCTCTGCGTGCCGCGCTGCTTCGCCACTACCGACAGCCCGCGCGCGGATTCCGGCGGATCGCGGGCTCCGGATTTGCAGGGCTGTCGAGTACGCGGGAGGAGCGAGTGCGGCGAATGAGAGTGCTGTGCGCGGAGGCCATGGAAGGACGTGAAGGGCGTGGGAGCAGACGAGCTTCGAGACTCGCTCTCATCGTGCAAGCCTCTGGTGCCTGCCGCTGCAGCGGCGAGGGAGGCGGAGGAGGAACATGCGGCCGCGGCCATGGCAGTCGCGCGTGCAAACGCGCTGATTGCGAGTTGAGCTGCAACCTGAGAACGAGAGTATGCAAGTTTCAGGATGGGGAATGAGGAGAACACGATTCACGAAGAAACTGGATGTTGGATTGAGTGGGTAGGCCGCAACTGAAGCCTATGAATTTGCCTTGCAAATGCTGCACGAGCGTTCTCGCTCGTTGTGCGGTCCGCGCTGGTGTGGTGTACAACTGTCGGGTTCAGAGCGGATGGTGTGATTTCGAGAGGATCCGAATTCGGGTGACATTAGCGGAATTCCGCGCCAGCGCGGCTCGGTGAGGTGCCGTGCAACGTGCCAGATTGATGGGAAGATCGTGTGATGTTTACGGCGCGCCGATGGATCTGTGACGTGGCTCATGTGAAACCCATCGTGAGGCCAAGACCAGACCAGACCAGGTGAAAACCCAGAAGCTCGGTTGTCAGCCACTAGTATCATTCACCCATGTAAATTCGAGAACCATGAACAGTCTTAAATACCTCGTTATAGAACTTCCAGAAACAATGTGGTATATTTTCTACAAAAAACACAGTCTACTAGTTCAAAGGATGATCCCATTTGGCTCCCATAAAGGCTCGAAGTGCCTTATTGGTGTTGATATACTATCTGTATGCCTAGTTTCACTGCACCGTAAAACAAACTTGCACAACTGTCAAACAATCAATTTGTATTTGCTCCAAACACCCTACACAATTGTATGTTATATCTGTATGCCTAGTTCACCAGCGTCATCGCCAGCTTTTGCACAACTGTCAAGCAATCAGGCTCTAGTGCACCATGTCAACTCACACATACACATTTGTATGCGCACAATATATGTAAGATGCTTTCGTCACGCCTACCCTGTCAGTAGTCCAGCACTGGAGATCCCCAACTGATCATAGAGGGGTTACATGCAGGTATTAGCTTGGAGGGTTATGGACGCACTAACCCGCATTTGGAACTCCATTTTATCCCAATTGTCTAGTGGTTGGGATTCTGAAATGATATTAGAGCAAATTTCACAGGTTCGAATCCACGTGTACGCACATGCTGCCGAAGGTGCTGTACCGTGTCCTGTGACTCCCAGTTGTCAGATTTATATGACATAGCTACTGTAGGCTATAGTGGGGTAGCACATATGGGGTACAGTTTTCTAGGGTTTGTATTTGTACCCAACTTTCCCTTAGTCAATTCATTCTCGTTCAGTTTCTCATGGTATCCAGCAGGTTCCCCTGTGGGAACTGTTCCTAGGGCCCACCACCTTTTTTTCCTGCCCGGAGCGCGCTCTACACTGCCCGAGTCGCGCTCCCCTCTCTCGACCCTGTCGCGCCGCCTTAGCGGCCCCGTCGCGTCGCGCTTGCGGCCCCTTCGCGTCGCCCTCGCGGCCCCTTCACGTCGCGCCGCCCTAGCGGCCGCGTCGCGCCGCCCTCGCGGCCCCGATCCGCCGCCCTCGCGGCTCCTTCGCGTCGCGCCGCCCTCGCGGCCCTTTCACGCCGCCCTCGCGGCCCTTTCTAACCGCCCTCGCGGCCTCTTCAAGCCGCCCTCGCGACCCCCCCCTCCTAGCCGCCCTAGCGGCCCCGTCGCCTACCCCTGCGGCCCCGGCGCCGCCCTTCCCTGCCTCGGCGCCGCCTCTGCTGGCCCCGTCGCCTACCCCTGCGGCCCCGGAGCTGCCCTTCCCGGCCCCGGCGCCGCCTCTACTGGCCCCGACGCCGCTCCACCCGGCCCCGACGCCGCTCCACCCGGCCCTGCCGCCGCTCCACCCGGCCCCGCCGCCGTCCCCACGCGGCCCCGCCGTCACCACCGAGCCGCCGGCGCCGCCGAGCTACTGCCGAGCCGCCCGATCCACCCGAGCCGCCCGAGCCGCCGCGCCACCTGAGCCGCCCGAGCCGCTGGGTCGCCGAGCCGCCGAGCTGCAGTTGCTGCCGAGCCGCCGTACCGCCGAGCCGCCCGAGCCGCCCGAGCCGCCGAGTCGCCGAGCCGCAGTTGCTGCCGAGCCGCCGTACCGCCGAGCCGCCCGAGCCGCCGAGTTGCCGAGCCGCCGAGCCGCCGAGCCACCCGAGCCGCCCTGTCCGGTAAGAGCAGCGCCTCTGTCACTGCACTGCCCTTACCCTACTGTTCGCGCTGCTAGTCTACTGCTGTCATGGCTACCCCTAGTGTCCTCGCTTTTGACGCTGAGGGTCGGGCCATTGACTTTGACGTCTGGGTAGATGACCTGCAGCTTTTCCTACAGTGCGATAGGGCAGACGGTCTCTCCCTCTTTGACCTCACCTCTGGTGCCTCTCCTGCCCCTGCTGCTGATGCCGACGCCACTGTTCGCTCACAGTGGGCCACACGCGATGCTGCTGCACGTCTTGCTGTGCGTCGCCACCTGCCTACCTCTGAGCGTGCGCACTTTGGCCAGTACAAGAGTGCTCAGACCTTGTACGACGCTGTAGTTGCGCGCTACTCCTCCCCTGCCGCTGCTGCACTGAGCCGCCTCATGCTACCGTACCTCTTCCCTGACCTTGCTGCCTTTCCCACAGTCGCTGACCTCATTACGCACCTCCGCACTAGTGACACTCGCTACCGCGCTGCGCTTCCTGCTGAATTCTGCGCCAAGAACCCCCCCCCCATGTACATCACCCTCTACTACATAGTCACCCGGCTCCCTGACTCCCTTCGCGTAGTCAGGGACCACTTCCTCTCAGTTTGCCCCACCACTCTCACCGTTGACCTCCTCGAGAAGGCCCTCCTAGCAGCAGAGAAGAGCATAGTCGCTGTAGGAGCCTCTCGTGGTGACCCTCGCACCCCCGTCTTTGAGGGGTGTTCCCTCTCCCCCCTTTTGCCCTCCGTTGCCTCTGCTGCTGCGGCCGACCTCGTTGGTTTCGAGTCGGTCGACGCTGCGTCTGCCCCGAGCGGGAGACGCCGCACCGGCAAGGGCAAGGGGGGCAAGGGTGCTGGAGGGGCTGGCGGGGGTGGCGGAGGTGGCGGTGGAGGCAGTGGAGGGGGTGGGGGTGGTGGTGGGAGTGGTGGCGGGGGTGGAGGTGTCGGTGGCGGCAGTGGAGGCGGAGGCGGCGGCGGCGGTGGCGGTGGGAGCGGAGGTGGCGGAGGTGGCGGCGGTGGAGGAGGCGGCGGCGGAGGAGGTGGAGCTGGTCGGGGTGGCGCTGCGCAGAGGGTCGGCTCCGGTGGTGGTCAGCGCCAGCAGCAGCAGCAGCAGCGGCAGCAGCGCACTCGTGACATCCCCCCCCCTCAGCAGCTCCGTGAGTGGTACGCTGCACGCCAGCAGGGTGGGGGTACTGGTCCGTGCACCTACGTCCTACGCACCGGCGACCGCGCGGGTGAGCAGTGCGGGGGTGCACACTCCACCCAGCGCTGCTTTGGCCGCCTGACGGACGCTTGGTGTCACCAGTTCCCTGAGGCCACTGAGATCCCCCGCTGGGGCGAGCTGTCTAGGGCGGGTGTAGCTGTCTTTGACCTTGACTTTGATGCTATTCTTGCTGCCATGTATGCTGTGACTATTAGTGATGAGGGTGACTGTTACCGGTGTTTTCCGCCCGACCCGGGCATTGAGACTGCTGCTCTAGGTACTGGTGAGGCTGCTGCTCTAGGTGCTAGCGAGGCTGCTGCTCTAGGTGCTCGTGCGTCTGCTCCCTCAGGTGCTGGTGAGTCTGCTCTCTCAGGTACTGCGTCGGCTTCGGCCTCCCACACCTTCACCCTTGACTCGGGGGCTTCTCGCTCCTTCTTTCGAGACCGCACCACACTCACGCCGCTTGGCCGGCCAGTTGCAGTCTCTCTGGCAGACCCCTCTGGGGGTCCTGTCCTTGCTCACTTCTCCACTGTCCTCCCGTGTCCGGCGGCCCCCTCTGGCACCCTGTCTGGTCTTTACCTCCCCTCGTTCTCTACGAACTTGGTGAGTGGTGCTGACCTACAGGATGCGGGGGTTCACCAGTTCACTCCTGCGAGTCAGCGGGTGACCCACTGCACGGACGCTCGGACAGGCCGACACCTGGCCACGTTTACACGTCGGCCGGGGTCGAGCCTGTACACACTGACCACTGCGTCTCCTCCAGTCACTGCGTCTGGTCAGGTAGCTGCGTCGGGTCAGGTGTTTGCTGCAGCGTCCAGGTCTGGTCATGAGTCTGCCCCCTGTTCGTGTCGCCTCCTGTCTCACGAGACTCTCCTCTGGCACCACCGCCTTGGTCACCCCTCCCTGCTTCGTCTCCGAGGCATGGCCTCCCGTGTCCTTGTCTCTGGTCTTCCCCGGTCCCTCCCTCCCCTTCCTCCGGGGCCTGGCCCTACCTGCGTCCCCTGTGTCGAGGGGCGGCAGCGTGCTGCCCCTCACTCCTCCCAGTTTCCTCCGACAGAGGCCCCGCTGCAGACGCTTCACATGGACGTGTGGGGCCCGGCCCGCGTCCGTGGACAGGGTCACGAGCGCTACTTCCTGCTGGTGGTTGACGACTACTCGCGTTACACCACAGTCTTCCCCTTGCGCAGCAAGGGTGATGTCACTGAGGTGTTGATCGACTGGATCCGCGCAGCTCGTCTCCAGCTCAGGCAGAGCTTCGGCTCGGACTTTCCTGTTCTGCGTCTGCACTCTGACAGAGGTGGAGAGTTCTCCTCTGGCCTTCTGCGAGCCTACTGTCGTGCACGAGGCATCCGCCAGACCTTCACGCTTCCGGACTCTCCACAGCAAAATGGGATTGCTGAGCGCCGCATTGGCATGGTCATGGACGTCGCCCGTACGTCCATGATGCATGCGGCTGCCCCCCATTTTCTGTGGCCGTTTGCGGTTCGGTACGCGGCGCATCAGATCAACCTTCAGCCCAGGGTCTCCATGCCGGAGACCTCCCCAGCTTTGCTGTGGACGGGGAAGGTTGGCGATGCGTCTGCGTTCCGTGTCTGGGGATCTCGGGCGTTTGTCCGCGACTTGTCTGCGGACAAGCTGTCCCCTCGTGCTGCTCCTTGCGTCTTCCTTGGCTTCCCCCCTGACGCGCCAGGGTGGCAGTTCTACCAC